ATTCTATGCTGAGAGAGGGAGAGAATAAAGATGGATCTGGAGGTATTTTACCTTTAATTCTCCCAGTGACGTAGACAAACCCATCGCGGTCGATCTTTCCAAGGTCTCCAGAGTGAAGCCAACCGTCTTCATCAAAAGCTTCTCGAGTTTTGTCTTCCATGTTCAAATAACCCATGAAAACCGTCCGGCCCCAAAAGCAAATCTCTCCGTTGCCGTCTTCGTCTTGGTTCGTGAGCTTCACTTTGCAACCAGAGACAGCTTTGCCACAGCTGGAAAGGGGGAAATAACATGGTTTGCTGGGTAGGTTTTCCTCTGGACTCGAAGGTACCTTTGGTTGTCTCATCCCAATACACAGACGTCAATATTTACCTGCCTCGTCGGTGAACGTACGGTCCGGACATGCAGTGGGGGCCGGTGGTCTCGCTCATCCCATAGGCTTGGTACAAAGGGATGTTCAGGCCGAGGAAGAACTGCGTCACTTCGGACGGGAGAGGAGCCGCTCCACAGAAATGCTTCTGGCACCGAGAGAAGCCCAAAGCGTTGCGGATTTTGGCAAGGACCAAAGCTTCAGCCAGGCGCATTCGAAAGGGTTTGAGGTCACTAAGGGACATACAAAGAAACTATGATAAAATAGGAATAGTTTCCAAGACGACTCAGTGTAAGAATCATAGAATCATAGAATCCTAGAGTTGGAAGAGACCTCATGGGCCATCCAGTCCAACCCCCTGCCAAGAAGCAGGAATATTGCATTCAAATCACCCCTGACAGATGGCCATCCAGCCTCTGTTTAAAAGCTTCCAAAGAAGGACCCTCCACCACACTCCGGGGCAGAGAGTTCCACTGCTGAACAGCTCTCACAGTCAGGAAGTTCTTCCTCATGTTCAGATGGAATCTCCCTTCTTGTAGTTTGAAGCCATTGTTTTGCATCCTAGTGATAGGACATCACTGTGGTTACCCAATCGAGATTATCCACAAAATGAGGATGTCTTAAGTTCGAAGCCAGCCCGGATCAGCATGAGCTCCCGACCATTAATAGTCTAGCTTGCTGTTGACCTATGCAGCCCGAAAGACAGTTTCATCTGTTAAGTAGGAAATTTAGGTACTGCTTTATGCAGGGGAGGCTAATTTAACTAATTTACGACACCATAAAACCTTCCAGCAGCGTGTGTAAGAATGAGGAAGTACTCCATCAAAGGACTCAATGTCACAAGTGGAAGGCTGTGGCGCAGCTGGCTGGGTGTCAGCTGCATTATGGATCACTACTGACCAAAAGGTCATGAGTTCGAAGCCAGCCCAGGTCGGAGTGAGCTTCCGGCCAATTGTGTAGCTTGCTGTTGATCTTTGCAATCTGACAGACAGTTGCATCTGTCAAGTAGGAAATTTAGGTACCACCTATGTGTGGGGAGGCTAATTAAACAAAATTTACGAGGCCATAAAAAATCTCCAGCAAAAGCATGCGGGGAATGGGGAAAATACTTCATCAGTGTCGCAGATGGACGGTGAAGCGACAGCTCCTCTGGAGGCCAGAAAACTGGAATGTTAAATAGCATCTGACTGTCTGTCTATATGTGTTGTGTGTCTATGGCATTGAATGTTTGCCATGTATGTGTACACTGTAATCCACCCTTAGTTCCCTGTGGGGTGAGAAGGGCGGAATATATACTGTAAATCAGTGTTTCTCAACCTTTCTAATGCCGTGACCCCTTAGTACAGTTCCTCATGTTGTAGTGACCCTCAACCATAACGTTATTTTCATTGCTACTTCATAACTGTAATTTTGCTACTGTTATGAATCGTAATGTAAATATCTGATAGGCCAGGATGTATTTTCAAATCCCAAATACCTAATATGCCCAAATTTGAATACTGGTGGGGTTGGGAGGGGATTGATTTTGTCATTTGGGAGCTGTAGTGGCTGGGATTTATAGTTCACCTACAATCAAAGAGCATTCTGAACACCACCAATGATGAAATTGAACCAAACTTGGCACACAGAACTCCCATGACCAAGAGAAAATACTGGGAGGATCTGGTGGACATTGACCTTGAATTTTTGGAGTTGTAGTTCACCTACATCCAGAGAGCACTGTGGACTCAAACAATGATGGATCTGGACCAAACTTGGCACCAAAACTCAATATGCCGAAATGTAAACACTGGTGGAGTTTGAGGAAAATAGACCTTAACATTTGGGAGTTGTAGTTGCTGGGATTTATAGTTCACCTACAATGAAATAACATTCTGAACCCCACCAACAATAGAATTGGACCAAAATTCCACACAGAACCCTTATGACCACAGAAAATACTGTGTTTCCTGATGGTCTTTGGCGACCCCTCTGGCACCCCCTCACGACCCCCACAGGGGTCCCGACCCCCAGGTTGAGAAACACTGCTGTAAATGAATAAATAAATAAGCAACTCCCCCTGTGGCCGGAATCGAGCATATCCTCATGAAGCCGGGGGGAAATGCTGGAATGTTAAATTAAGGAATTTTAAGAAGGAAATAGCAGCCAGGTGCCTTCCCACGATGATATCGAAAGTATAGATAAGGATTTGACCCGAGAAGCTCGCCTTGATCTCCGGGTCAGGCGCAGTTCGCATCTGGCAAGGTCGTCGCAATGCTTTTATGATGCTGAGAGCCTAATGTTTTGATGTTGGGAAGGTATTTAGGCCTTCTGGAAACTCTGTGAAAGTGTCAGTTCAACGTAGCTTATTAGCCTGAAAGCTTCATGGAATAACCTTAGCCTGGAAAGCAGTACGCTTGGGATTTCTTGCATTGTGATTCTTGGAGCAAATGTTTCATTGCTTGTACCTGGGACTCTGGTTTGAAGTTTGCCAATAGGATTATGTCTCCTGCTTTTACCTGAAGATCTTTGGAACTGTATCCTGCATTTAACCTTAATCTTTGGAACTTTGCAATGCTTATTCTTTATTTTGACTTGGATTTTTCCCTCAATAAACTATAAAACTACAGCTCTTGTGTGGTGGTGTTTGGAAGCAAGGTGAAGCTTATTCTGAGTTGCAACAGTACAATAAATATGCCTTACCTTGGAGTTTAACATCTTCTAGGGAGGCCCTGGTCCAGATCTACCATTGTTTGAGTCCAGAGTGCTCTCTGGATGTAGGTGAACTGCAACTCCCAAACTCAAGGCCAATGTCCACCAGATCCTCCCAGTATTTTGTGTTGGTCATGGGAGTTCTGTGTGCCAGCTCCATGCCTTGGTGGAGTTCAGGATGCTCTTTTATTGTAGGTGAACTATAAATCCCAACAACTAAAACTCTCAAATGACAAAATTAATCCCCCACCCCCAACCTTATCAGTATTCAAATTTGGGCATATCAGGTATTTGTGCCAAATTTGGTCCAGGGAATGAAAATACACCCTTGCATATCAGATATTCACATTACAATTCATAACAGTAGTAAAATTACAGTTCAGTTATGATGTAGCAGCGAAAATAATTTTATGGTTGGGGGTCACAACAACATGATGAACTGTATTAAGGGGTCGTGGCATTAGGAAGGTTGAGAACCACTGCAATAGAGTCACATTAAAGGAATTAGCAAATTCCCCATCCCTGAAATCTTCTTTTTTTCCTCCCCCATTACCTGTTGGAGCAGTTCAGATTTCGTTCCAAACTAACCGACATGGCCCAGGAAAGCATCTTTTTCTTCAGGAACCCGGACTGAGAAGAGACCTCCTTGATCTTCTCCATGATCTTCTCCCAAACCCGAGGGACCCCCATGTGTGAGGTGGGCCGTGCCTCTTTCAGGATATCCACCAGGCCTCCCTGAGAAGGGCAAGAGGCAAAATCACACAGGAAAGAACCTAAAGGGTCATCTAGTCCAACACCCTGCCAACAGCTAAAGAGAGGGGCATTGGAGCTGTGAAGAAGGAGAAATGGAGCCCACCACCATCCGAGGCCACCAAGACCCAAAACAGACCTTCAAGGCATCTGGCTCCGCGAAGTAAACCTGCTCTCCCCACTTGATCCCGGTCCAAAGATCATAGATTTGAGCCGCAATATGGCTGAGCGGAAGGTAGCTGACGATGATCTCTTGCTGGATTTCGGCCGGCTGCATGTCACCCGCACGGCTAGCGTGAGCTGATGTCCAGGTGATCTGACCAGACAGAAGCACATGTCATTACGAGAACACAAATTGCACATTTATTGACAGTGGGAACCCTGTCTTTATGCATTTTTCCTTTCCTACAGGAAGGCCAAGGTGGTGTCTCTGAAACTCCTTCTCTCCCCATCCCATTTATCTTCTGTTTACATTGTAGACTTAATACCAATTGAGACTCCTTTTGATAGGGCAATAAATCATCATCATCATCATCATCATCATCATCATCCCTAACCCATCTAAAACACAGACATGTGCTTTTCACCTTAAGAACAGACAAGCACCCCGAGTTCTGAGGATCACCTGGGAAGGAATCCCACTGGAGCATTGCAGCGCACCCAAATACCTGGGAGTCACTCTGGACCGTGCTCTGACCTACAAGAAGCACTGCCTGAACATCAAGCAAAAAGTGGGCGCTAGAAACAATATCATACAAAAGCTGACTGGCACAACCTGGGGATCACAACCAGACACAGTGAAGACATCCGCCCTTGCGCTATGCTACTCTGCTGCTGAGTACGCATGCCCTGTGTGGAACACATCTCCCACACTAAAACAGTGGATGTGGCTCTTAATGAGACATGCCGCATTATCACGCGGTATCTGCACCCTACACCACTGGAGAAATTACACTGCTTAGCCGGTATTGCACCACCTGACATCCGCCGGGAAGTAGAACAGAATCATAGAGTTGGAAGAGACCTCATGGGCCATCCAGTCCAACCCCCTGCCAAGAAGCAGGAAAATTGCATTCAAATCACCCCTTACAGATGGCCATCCAGACTCTGTTTAAAAGCTTCCAAAAAGGAGCCTCCACCACACTCTGGGGTAGAGAATAGTGAAAGGACCAAGACAGAGACATCTCCAGCCCATCCCTTGTTTGGGTATCAGCCAGCACGTCAACGACTTAAATCAAGAAATAGTTTTCTAAGATCCACAGAGACACTCGCTGGAACACCCCAGCAAGCAAGAGTCCAAAAGTGGCAGGCTCAAACCCAGAACCTCAACCAATGGCTGATACCAAATGAGAGACTCCACCCTGGGCACACAGAAGACTGGGCGACTTGGAAGGCGCTGAACAGACTGCGCTCTGGCACCACGAGATGCAGAGCCAACCTCAAAAAATGGGGCCACAAAGTGGAATCCACGACATGTGAGTGTGGAGAAGAGCAAACCACTGACCACCTGCTGCAATGCAACCTGAGCCCTGCCACATGCACAAGGGAGGACCTTCTTGCGGCAACACCAGAAGCACTCCAAGTGGCCAGATACTGGTCAAAGGACATTTAATCAACTACCAAGCTTGCAAATTCTGTGTTTTGTCTGTTTGTTTGTTTGTTTGTTTTTGTTAAAATGTAATACAAATGTCTGGTTGCTGATGACACGATAAAAAAAATATCTAGTTGTTGCCGCCGGTCCGTATACCGCCCTGAGTCGCCTTCGGGCTGAAAAGGGCAGGATAAAGTGATGTAAATAAATAGTCATTCAAAATAGTCATACAACATAAAGGTAAAGGTTAGGAATCAGCTGGTTTTCCCTGTAATAGGCAGTAAGAGCAACTAAAGCTTAGGAGAGCTTCTGTTCAACCATTTCAGATCTCCCTGCTTGAGCAGTGATGGCACGATCATCAGCATAGATTGAACTCTTTGTCCCTTCTAGCAGCATTTCAGATAAAAGATACCCATTCTGCACGGCAGACATAATAGTTTTAGTTTTACGTGTGGATGTTTTTCAGCGTATCACTTTCTGGAATGCTATAGAATTGGGGAAAGGAATTCCTCGTTGAGGGATTATTATTATTATTATTATTATTATTATTATTATTATTATTTCAGATACTTGTACCCTGCCCTTCTCAGGGGGAGGAGGCTCAGGGCGGCAACAATTTGATGCCTTCAATGTACACATAATAGGTAAAGGTAAAGGTTTTCCCCTTACATTAAGTCCAGTCGTGTCCGACTCTGGGGTGTGGTGCTCATCTCCATTTCTAAGCCGAAGAGCCGGCGTTGTCCATAGACACCTCCAAGGTCATGTGGCTGCATGACTGCATGGAGCGCTGTTACCTTCCCACTGGAGCAGTACCTATTGATCTACTCATATTTGCATGTTTTTGAACTGCTGATTCATCACTTACGCTTGAGGCTCAGGCGTCGGCGGTGGCCAGGAGGGCCTTTGCACAATTAAGACTCGTGCGCCAACTGCGACCGTACCTCGTGAAGGTGGATCTGGCCAAGGTGGTCCATGCCTTAGTCACCTCTAGACTGGATTACTGTAATGCACTCTACATGGGGCTGCCCTTGAAAACAGCTTGGAAATTCCAGATGGTCCAACGGGCGGCCAGGTTGTTAACTGGGCTCCTTACAGGAAGCGGTCAAACCTCCTGTTCAAGGAGCTCCACTGGTTGCCATTCATTTTCTGGACCCAATTCAAGGTGCAGGTTCTTACCTACAAAGCCCTGAACGGTTTGGGACCCGCTTACCTGCGTGACCGCGTTTCTGTTCTGGAACGGCTGTTCCAGGGGCTCCAATTTTGTGCTTTGCACTGAGTGTTTGTTCATAGTCCTAAGTTGCAGGGACTTTGCAGATAGGTGGCTTCCTTTGGCTGCATTCATAGGGCAAGCCACCTGTCAATAATAGTTAGGATCCCTGGTCCCGCCCCTCTCTGGGTTTTTTGGAGGGAAGGGGCCATTTTTCAGTTAGTCTCAGCAAAGGAAGTCAATGCAGAGGATGTATACAGACGTCCTCCTGTACAAAGGCTTCGTCCCTTAAGACTTCCCGGGGGAGAACAGTCTTAAGAGCCTCTAAAGATTCCCAAAGGTTCCGGGGAAACAGCCTTACAGCCCTGAGGAATTCCGGAGGGAATAACAGCTCTAATCGTCAAGATCTCCAGCTAAGTGACTACAGGCCTGCTGGTACGTCTGCTCGGTTCTGAGACGCAGTTCAGCCGGTAGTGGATTCAAATCAGTCAGGTTTAGGTTCACAGTAGCCTGGGAGGAGCTAGAAAGGGGAATTTTCCTTTGAACAAAGTTATTGAAGATAGTGCCTGTTCCCTGTGGACAAGTTTGAGAGAACTGTTTTTTGCCAAGAAAGCTTTACAATTCCTGTTTGTTCATCAATAAAAGACTGTTATATTTAAGCTCAAGCCTCCTAAAGACTGTTTAATGAGGGAAATTTCTCTAAAGGCACCTTTTCGGGGGCCCTGGCTTCCCGCTGGATTCAAGCCATACATCCTCTCTTAAAGGCACTTCATTTCAGGTCCAGCGGCGACAGAACAACAATCTTAGTGTACAAACCCACACGATCTCTCCGTTCATCTGGAGAGGCCCTGCTCGCGATCCCACCTGCATCGCAGGCGCGATTGGTGGGGACGAGAGAGAGGGCCTTTTCGGTGGTGGCCCCCCGACTCTGGAACTCACTTCCTAAGGACATCAGGCAGGCCCCAACTCTGGCAGTCTTTAGGAGGAGCTTGAAGACGTGGCTGTTCCAGTGTGCCTTCCCAGAATAATGATCCCATAGCACTTTGTCCTCCAAAGCACTTTACATTTTTTAGGTCTGCTTGTATGTTTTCCACAAACGCCCCATCACTTTTTCGCCCATGTTCCAGCATTACTTTCAATTTTAATTTTACATTTGGCCTTCCCATAGTTTTTAATTGTGTGGTCTTATTGTTAATGTTGCATTATTGTATTGTCCATGTTTTATTTTAATGATTGGATTACTGTAATGCGCTCTACGTGGGGCTGCCCTTGAAAACGGCTCGGAAATTTCAGCTAGTCCAGCGGGCGGCAGCCAGGATGTTAACTGGTGCTCCTTACAGAGAGAGGTCAACCCTCCTGTTCAAGGAGCTCCATTGGCTGCCGTTCATTTTCCGATCCCAATTCAAGGTGCAGGTGCTCACCTACAAAGCCCTAAACGGTTTGGGACCTGCCTACCTGCGTGACCGCATCTCCGTTTACGAACCCACATTCCCTTCGATCATCTGGAGAGGCCCTGCTCACGATCCCACCTGCGTCGCAAGTGCGTTTGGTGGGGACGAGGGACAGGGCCTTCTCTGTGGTAGCCCCCCGACTCTGGAACTCTCTCCCCAGGGACATCAGACAAGCCCCAACGTTGGCAGTCTTTAGGAAGAGCTTGAAGACCTGGCTGTTCCAGTGTGCCTTTCCAGAATGGAAACTCCCGGCATCAAGTCCCAAATGCACTTTGTTAGAGATTTAGGATTATCTGCACATTGCACCTACCTCCAAATACCTCTACATATCACCTGTCAAGTCCAGCACTTTTAAATTTTGTCTATTACATTTGGCCCGGCCTTAGGTTTTAAATAGCATCACGGTGTCATCATTTTACTGTTTTATTGTTTGCTTGAGGTTTATTATTTGCTTATGACTTTTATTTTATTTTTATTTGAGTTTTATTGTGTATTGTATGTTGTTGTTGTCGGTGGCCTTGGCCTTTGTAAGCCGCATCGAGTCCTTCGGGAGATTTTGCGGGGTATAAATAAAGATAATAATAATAAATAATAATAATATTCTGCTTTGGTTAGACCCCATCTGGAATATTGTGTCCAATTCTGGGCACCACAATTCAAGAGAGATATTGACAAGCTGGAATTTGTCCAGAGGAGGGCGACTAAAATGATCAAGGGTCTGGAGAACAAGCCCTATGAGGAGCGGCTTAAGGAGCTGGGCATGTTTAGCCTGAAGAAGAGAAGGCTGAGAGGAGATATGATAGCCATGTATAAATATGTGAGAGGAAGCCACAGGGAGGAGGAGGGAGCAAGCTTCCTTTCTGCTTCCCTGGAGACTAGGACGCAATGGAACAATGGCTTCAAACTACAAGAAAGGAGATTCCATCTGAACATGAGGAAGAACTTCCTGACTGTGAGAGCCGTTCAGCAGTGGAACTCTCTGACCCAGAGTGTGGTGGAGGCTCCTTCTTTGGAAGCTTTTAAACAGAGGCTGGATGGCCATCTGTCAGGGGTGATTTGAATGCAATATTCCTGCTTCTTGGCAGGGGGTTGGACTGGATGGCCCATGAGGTCTCTTCCAACTCTTTGATTCTATGATTCTATGATTCTTATGATCATACATGATGGGGCTGTGAAATAATAATAATAAATATTACTGTTTGTATTGTTGTATTTGGGCTCGGCCTCATGTAAGCCGCACCGAGTTCCTTGGGGAGATGGTAGCGGGGTACAAATAATGTTGTTGTTGTTATTATTATTATTATTATTATTATTATGTTTTCGAACTGCTAGGTTGGCAGAAGCTGGGGCTAACAGCGGGAGCTCACCAACAGAGAAAAACTAAGAGTGAATAAGGAGAAGAGATGTCAGGGGATTGCTTTCTCCTTAGTACAAAGGTTTGGTGTCGCCTTCTGAGTGTCTGAATATGTCCTCCCGCGTTATCAAATGCAAGCAGAGGAAATCACAGCTCCGAACTGGATATCCGAGAGACGGAGAGAACAACGTTGTCTCATGAAGAAGGCATGAGGACACACGTAGGAGCAAAGGATGTTTTCCAGTGCAAAGAAAGCATTAAAAATAGCCCCTTTGCGAGCATTTGGTGAACAGAAATAGAAATCGCTCGGATCATCAAAGGCCAAAACAGCCCTCTCTACCTTTCAGTCCCAGAAAGTGACTTGGAGATGCTTCAAAGTGGAACAGGAGCTAATCGTATGTTGTCGCTCTGTTCGTATGGCAGCCACCTGTCCCCACACCGAAAACAACTCGTCCAAAAATAACTTCCGTCAATGGCTGGAGCCCTTCTATTTAAAAAGCATGAACAAAGTTTTCCGTGGCTGCCTGCAATACCTACGTTGTCGTGGCTCAGCATGGCTCCTTTGGGCTTCCCAGTCGTTCCCGAAGTGTAGATCAGGACGCAACATTGGTTCGGCTTTTGGGAGCGAAGGATCGCGTCGAGCTCTTGATCCGGGACCTCGTTGCCCAATTCCATAAATTCGTCCATCTATAAATAATAATAATCCTTGTGAGAGAAATAATAATAATAATAATCTATATCTATAAATTTCCTACTGGCGTCCAACGGGGAAGCAAAACTCTAAAACCCCTCCACAAAACTCTACCAAAATTGCCATGCCCCAAGGACAACCCACTAGGTACAAACTAATCCACTCAGAAATCAAAACCACACAACAACAACCACAAAAAACGGCAAAACAACTGAGCATGCGCACTGGCGCAAACTCCCTGGCGCGCGCACACACATGGCCCCTCACCCTCCCCCCCGGCGCGGCACACACACGCGCGCGCGCGCCCCCTCTCCCCCCTCCGGCGCGGCACACACACACACATGCACACACACACGCGCGCACGCGCCCCCTCACCCCCCCGGCGCGGCACACACACACACGCACGCGCGCGCCCCCCTCACCCCCCGGCGCGGCACACACACACACGCGCGTGCCCCCTCCCCCCCCCGCGCGGCACACACACACACGCGCGCCCCCTCACCCCCCCCGGCGCGGCACCCCTTCTAAACCCATCCCCCCTCCCCTCCTCCCTCTTACCCTTCTCACGTTACCTCCAAGCCATGCCCCCTTCTAATCTGTCAAGGAAGAAAGGAGAGAAAGAGGGAGGGAAAGAAAGAAGGAAGGAAAGAATGAGGTAGAAAAGGAAGAAAGGAGAGAAAGAGGGAGGGAAAGAAAAAGGGGGGAGGAAGGAAAGTTAGAAAGGAAGGAGAGAAGGAAAGAAAAAAGGGAAAGAAGGAAGGAAAGAAGGAGCGAAGGAAGGGGGGAAGATGTAGAGAAAGAGGGAGGGAAGGAAAGATGGAAAGAGAGAAGGAAGAAAAGAGAGACTGCAGAAGAGAAAAAGGAAGAAGGAAGGAAAGAGGGAGCGAAGGAAGGGGAAGATGTAGAGAAAGAGGGAGGGAAGGAAAGAGAGAAGGAAGAAAAGAGAGACAGCAGAAGAGAAAGAAAAAGGAGAGAAGGAAAGACAGGAAGGAAGGAAGGAAACAGGGAGTGAAGGAAGGAGGGAAAGAAGGGGAGATAGGGGAAAGGTTGGCCACAGCAATGCGTGGCGGGTGCAGCTAGTAATAATAACAATAAGTGCATTGACACTGTAGAACAGTGTTTCTCAACCTTCCTAATGCCGCGACCCCTTAGTATAGTTCCTCATGTTGTGGTGACCCCCAACCATATTTTCGTTGCTACTTCACAACTGTAATTTTGCTCCAGTTATGAATCGTAATGTAAATATCTGATCTGCAGGATGGATTTTCATTCACTGGACCAAATTTGGCCCAAATACCTGATACGCCCAAATGTGAATACTGCTGGGGTTGATTTGGTCATTTGGGAGTTGTAGTTGGTGGGATTTATAGTTCACCTACAATCACAGAACATACTGAATCCCACCCATGATGGAATTGAACCAAACTTTACACGAATATTCAATATGCCCAAATGTGAACACTGGTGGAGTTTGGGGAAAATAGAATCTTGACATTTGGGAGTTGTAGTTGCTGGGATTTATAGTTCACCTACAATCACAGAACATTCTGAATCCCACCCACGATGGAATTGAACCAAACTTTACATGAATACTCAATATGCCCAAATGTGAACACTGGTGGAGTTTGGGAAAATAGAATCTTGACATTTGGGAGTTGTAGTTGCTGGGATTTATAGTTCACCTACAACAGTGGTTCTCAAATCCCACCCACGATGGAATTGAACCAAACTTTACATGAATACTCAATATGCCCAAATGTGAACACTGGTGGAGTTTGGGAAAATAGAATCTTGACATTTGGGAGTTGTAGTTGCTGGGATTTCTAGTTCACCTACAATTACAGAACATTCTGAATCCCACCCACGATGGAATTGAACCAAACTTTACATGAATACTCAATATGCCCAAATGTGAACACTGGTGGAGTTTGGGGAAAATAGAATCTTGACATTTGGGAGTTGTAGTTGCTGGGATTTATAGTTCACCTACAATCACAGAGCATTCTGAATCCCACAATGATAGAATTGGCTCAAACTACACGAATACTCAATATGCCCAATGTGAACACTGGTGGAGTTTGGGGAAAATAGAATCTTGACATTTGGGAGTTGTAGTTGCTGGGATTTATAGTTCACCTACATAGAGCATACTCAAACAATGATGGACGTGGACCAAACTTGGCATGAATACTCAACATGCCCAAATGCGAAACTGGTGGAGTTTGGGAAGAATAGGCCTTGACATATGGGAGTTGTAGTTGCTGGGATTTATAGTTCACCTACAATCAAAGAGCACTCTGAATTCCACAAACGATGGAATTGACCAAACTTGGCACACAGAACTCCCATGACCAACAGAAAATACTGGAAGGGTTTGGTGGACATTGACCTTGAGTTTTGGAGTTGTAGTTCATCTACATCCAGAGAACACTGTGGACTCAAACAATGATGGATCTGGACCAAACTTGGCACAAATACTCAATATGCCCAAATGTGAACACTGGTGGAATTTGGGGGAAATAGACCTAGCTTTATGAGTTGTAGTCACTGGGATTCACAGTTCACCTATAATCAAAGAGCATTCTGAACCCCACGAACGACAGAATCGGGGAAAACTTCCCACACAGAACACCCATGACCATCAGAAAATACTTAAGACCATCCAATCCAACTCCCTTCATCAGGGCAAGAAAACATAATCAAAGTCCTCCTGACAAAGAGCCATCCAGCCATAGATATAGATAGATAGATAGATAGATAGATAGATAGATAGATAGATAGATAGATAGATAGATAGAGATAGATATGATTCACACACAGAGATATAGTATCATAGATTTGAAAGGGACCCTTAAAGAAGGACAGTGATATGTTGCATGTTCCAGGATGGGCAAACCACAACACTAACAAAGAAACAGCAAGAAATACTGTTTACCCACAAGCATAAAGAAATTACATATATTAGAAACCAACACTTTCTCATTACTTTATTTTCCAGATCAACAGACTGGGCCACAGCAATGCATGGCAGGGGACAGCTAGTAATCTATATAAATAAAAATGTAATGTTCGTTTGTGATATTCACAGAACTCAAAAACAACTGGGGGAATTGACACCAAATTTGGACACGATACACCTAACAACCCAATTTATGTCCTCCACTCAAAAAAATTGATTTTGTCATTTGGGAATTGTAGTTGCTGGGATTTATAGTTCACCTACAATCAAAGAGTATTCTGAAGTTCACCAACAATGGAATTGAACCAAACTTGGCACACAGAACTCCAATGACCAAGAGGAAATACTGGGAGGGTCTGGTGGACATTGACCTTGAATTTTTGGAGTTGTAGTTCACCTACATCCAGAGAGCACTGTGGACTCAAACAATGATGGATCTGGACCAAACTTGGCACAAGCACTCAATACCCCAAATATGAACACAGATGGAGTTTGGGGGAAATAGACCTTGACATTTGGGAGTTGTAGTCACTGGGAATTCACAGTTCACCTACAATGAAATAGCATTCTGAACCTCACCAACGATGGAATTGGAACAAACTTCCCACACAGAACCCCCATGACCAACAGGAAATACTATGTTTTCTGATGGTATTTGGCGACCCCTCTGACACCCCCTCGCGACCCCCACAGGGGTCCCGACCCCCAGGTTGAGAAACACTGCTGTAGAATGAATGTAGTTTGACCCCACTTTAACTGCCGTGGCTCAATGCTACGGATTCCTGGGAGTCGTCACTTTACAACTACCAAAGAAGGCTGGTGCCTCGCCAAACTACAACTTCCAGACTCTCATCACATCGTGCATGACAATTCAAATGGGACCAAGCTATATTAATTCTACATTCTTCACTCTAGAGCAGTGTTTCTCAACCTGGGGGTCGGGACCCCTGAGGGGGTCGCGAAGGTGTGTCAGAGGGGTCGCCAAAGACCATCAGAAAACACAGTATTTTCTGATGGTCATGGGGATTCCATGTGGGAAGTTTGAGCAATTCTAAAAAAAAAAAAAAAAAAAAAAAAAAAAAAAAAAAAAAAAAAAAATGAGGGGGTCGCGAAGGGGTGTCAAAGGGGTCACTAAAGACCATCAGAATGTGGGAAGTTTGAGCCAATTCTATCGTTGGTGGAGTTCAGAATGTTCTTTGATTGTAATGAACTATAAATTCCAGCAACTACAACTCCCAAAAGTCAAGGTCTATTTTCCCCAGGCTCCACCAGTGTTCACATTTGCGCATATTGAGTATTTGTGCCAATTTTGGTCCAGATCCACCATTGCGTGAGTCCACAGTGCTCTCTGGATATAGGTGAACTACAACTCCCAAACTCAAGGTCAATACCCACCAAACCCTTCCAGTGTTTTCTGTTTGTCGTGAGCGTTCTGTGTGCCAAGTTTGGATCAATTCCATCGTTAGTGGAATTCAGATTGCTCTTTGATTGTAGATGAACTATAAATCCCAGTAACCACAACTCCCAAATGTCAAGGACAATGCGCACCACACTCTTTCAGTATTTTCTGTTGGCCATGGGAGTTCTGTGTACCAAATTTGGATCAATTCCATCGTTAGTGGAGTTCAGATTGCTCTTTGATTGTAGGTGAACTATAAATCCCAGTAACCACAACTCCCAAATGTCAAGGTCTATTTTTCCCAAGCAATATTCAGATTTGGGCATATTGAATATTCATGCCAAGTTGGTCCAGATCTATCATTGTTAGAGTCCACAGTGCTCTCTGGATGTAGGTGAACTACAACTCCCAAATGACAAAATGACTCCCCCTTTCCCGATTCCACCAGTATTCAAATTTGGGCATATTGGGTATTTGTGTCAGATTTGGTCCAATGAATGAAAATACATCCTACATATCAGGATTCATGATGGGAGCAAAATGACAGTTATGAAGTAGTAACGAAAATAATGTTACGGTTGGGGGTCACCACAACATGAGGGACTGTATTAAGGGGTCACGGCATTAGGAAGGTTGAGAAACACTGCTCTAAAGAGCCTTAATGAAGCCATAAATGAAGTACTGACAAAAATTCGGAAGTTTCGTAAAGTTTTGAAATTTTTCTGATAGTCACTCCTTGGGTTAGTAGGTATCTTGTGACCAAATTTGGTGGTAATTCGTGCGGTGGTTTTTGAGTATGATGTTACTCATAACAGTGTGTGTTTGTATACACACACACACACACACCGTATTTTCTGGCATATAAGACAACTGGGCGTATAAGACGACCCCCAACTTTTCCAGTTAAAATATAGAGTTAGGGATATACTCGCCGTATAAGATTACCCCTCTTTTTAAAAGCATCAGATTTGATTTCAATATGGTAATTTTGAAGAACGACCTGCCTCAGTGGAGCGTGCTTGCTCCATCTATGTTCAACATCTACACAAATGACCAGCCACTGCCAGAAGGGACAGAGAGTTTCATCTATGCTGATGATCGTGCCATTACCGCTCAAGCAGGGAGCTTTGAGATGGTTGAACAGAAGCTCTCCGAAGCTCTAGGTGCTCTTACTGCCTGTTACAGGGAAAACCAGCTGATCCCTAACCCATCTAAAACACAGACATGTGCCTTTCATCTCAGAACAGAGAAGCATCCCGAGCTCTGAGGATGACCTGGGAAGGAATCCCACTGGAGCATTGCAGCGCACCCAAATACCTGGGAGTCACTCTGGACCGTGCTCTGACCTACAAGAAGCACTGCCTGAACATCAAACAAAAAGTGGGTGCTAGAAACAATATCATACGAAAGCTGACTGGCACAACCTGGGGATCACAACCAGACACAGTGAAGACATCTGCCCTTACGCTATGCTACTCTGCTGCTGAGTATGCATGCCCAGTGTGGAACACATCTCACCACACTAAAACAGTGGATGTGGCTCTTAATGAGACATGCCGCATTATCACGGGGTGTCTGCGCCCTACACCACTGGAGAAATTACACTGCTTAGCCAGTATTGCACCACCTGACATCTGCCAGGAAGTAGCAGCCAATAGTGAAAGGGCCAAGGCAGAGACATCTCCAGCCCATCCCCTGTTTGGTTATCAGCCAGCACGTCAATGACTTAAATCAAGAAATAGTTTTCTAAGATCTACTGAGACACTCGCTGAACACCTCAGCAAGCGAGAGTCCAAAAGTGGCAGGCTCAAACCCAGAACCTCAACCAATGGCTGATACCAAATGAGAGACTCCCTATTGGGCACACAGAAGACTGGGCGACTTGGAAGGCGCTGAACAGACTGCGCTCTGGCACCACGAGATGCAGAGCCAACCTCATGAAATGGGGCCACAAAGTGGAATCCTCAACATGCGAGTGTGGAGAAGAGCAAACCACTGACCACCTGCTGCAATGCAACCTGAGCCCTGCCACATGCACATAGAGGACCTTCTTGCAGCAACACCGGAAGCACTCCAAGTGGCCAGATGAAACGAGCAGGGGAAGGAAACTTACAAAATTAGCATTTGTAGGTTTCCTGGTCACTCACCGCATACAAATTGGGACGTTCCTCCAGCAAATGGCCTTTGTACATCACCACCGCTTTCAAGAGGGGCAAACGATCCCAGATCTACGTCGAAAGACAATTAGAATCATAGAATCAAAGAGTTGGAAGAGACTTCATGGGCCATCCAGTCCAACCCCATTCTACCAAGAAGCAGGAATATTGCATTCAAATCCCCCCTGACAGATGGCCATCCAGCCTCTGTTTAAAAGCTTCCAAAGAAGGAGCCTCCACCACACTCCGGGCAGAGAGTTCCACTGCTGAATGGCTCTCACAGTCAGGAAGTTCTTCCTCATGTTCAGATGGAATCTCCTTTCTTGTAGTTTGAAGCCATTGTTCCGCATCCTAGTCTCCAGGAAGCAGAAAACAAGCTTGCTCCCTCCTCCCTGTGGCTTCCTCTCACATATTTATACATGGCTATCATATCTCCTCTCAGCCTTCTCTTCTTCAGGCTACACATGCCCAGCTCCTTAAGCCGCTCCTCATAGGGCTTGTTCTCCAGACCCTTGATCATTTTAGTCGCCCTCCTCTGGACACATTCCAGCTTGTCAATATCTCTCTTGAATTGTGGTGCCCAGAATTGGACACAATATTCCAGGTGTGGTCTAACCAAAGCAGAATAGAGCATGGGGAGCATGACTTCCCTAGATCTAGACACTAGGCTCCTATTGATGCAGGCCAAAATCCCATTGGCTATTTTTGCCGCCACATCACATTGTTGGCTCATGTTTAACTTGTTGTCCACGAGGACTCCAAGATCTTTTTCACACGTACTGCTCTCGAGCCAGGCATCCCCCCATTCTGTATCTTTGCATTTCGTTTTTCTGCCTAAGTGGAGTATCTTGCATTTGTCCCTGTTGAACTTCATTTTGTTAGTTCTAGGAAGGACCGGAGCAACTGCAGAACAGTGCCCCCGAGTCCCATTCCCGCAAGGCAGTCCAGAAGGATACCGTGGTCAACGGTATCGAAGGCCACTGAGAGGTCCAGCAAAACCAACAGGGACACACTCCCCCTGTCTAGCTCCTGGCATAGATCATCCACTAAGGCGACCAAGGCTGAAGCAAAGTGTGCCAAAGTCCAAATGCAGCTCTTAAATTTATTTATTTATTTGTGTCAGGAGCAACTTGAGAAACTGCAAGTCGCTCCTGGTGTGAAAGAATTGGCCATCTACAAGGACGTTGTCCAGGGGATGCCTGGATGTTTTACCATCATGCGGGAGGCTTCTCTCATATCCTCACATGAGGAGCTGGAGCTGGCAGGCGGGAGCTCACCCCACTCCCCGGATTCGAACCATTGATCTTTCGGTCAGCAGTCCTGCCAGCACAATAACATATAACCCATTGTGTCATACATTATTGAATTGCTATGCCACTTGGGAGCCATACATTTACAGGCAGATATTTCAAAGTCCTTCCTCTTTTTTCATTTTTTGATTGTGACGGCATGAGTGGCGCCACCTGTGTGTAGAACTTTAAAGTGCAAAGGTTTAAACTGTATAACATGCCCAAACTTGCTTATCTTGTAAATGTATAGTTGGATTGATTGGTTATTTATAGCTGTCAATCAATGTTGTTTGCACCAGTTAAATTGCTCCCTCAGCTCAATTGTTTGGCCCCACCTCTTCCTAGAAGAGGAGGGCAGTGTTTCCTTTTCCATTCTACCATCAAACTTTCTATCAGATAGACGTGAGAAAGAGACTTGGCTCTAAAGCCCTTAATTAAGTTACCTCTCATCACCAATTCTAAGGTTTTTACTAGGCCTGTGCGGTTTCGTTCGTTAATTTCGTTATTCGTAAAACATTCGTTATTTTTAGCATTTACGAAGCGATATCAAAACACTTTTTCAAACCCGGAAGGGTTAAAATATCGAAGCGGCATCCCCCATCCTTTTAACGAGCTTCCGCCCGTTTCGGAAATTGGATGGAGGATGCTGGTGCCTGGGAGCCAATCCGGCGCTCCCAAGCAGTGCACCGTGGCTGTTTGTTTTTGATTGGCCGGCGAGCCCTTTCAAAGCGGCTCCGCGCGGCCGTAGCTCATTGCTGCAGAGGGCGAGGGAGAGAGAAGAGGTCCGGGAGGGTTTGCATTGGGTTGGCTTGGCTTGGCTAGCAACTGGATTGGATTCATTCCTTGCTTGGATTCATTCCTTGCTGCTGTGAGTGCTGCTTATATTCCTTGCTTGGATTCATTACTTCCTTCGGTTTTTGTGAATTTGTTTCTTAATTTTTTGGTTAATTTTCCATTTTAAAATATTTTTTAATATTATTTTTTAATATTATTTTTTAATATTATTTTAATATTATTCTTAAAAAATATTCTAAAAAAGAAAAGACTCTTCTGTTGGTGTGTGCTCTCATTTGCTGTCTCCTGCCTGTGTTTGGTCCACATTTGGGCCATTTTTTGGTTAATTTTCCATTTTTAAATATTTTTTAATATTATTTTTTAATATTATTTTTAATATTATTTTAATATTATTCTTAAAAATACAAAAAATATTCTAAAAAAGAAAAGACTCTTCTGTTGGTGTGTGCTCTCATTTGCTGTCTCCTGCCTGTGTTTGGTCCACATTTGGGCCATTTTTTGGTCAATTTTCCATTTTTAAATATTTTTTAATATTATTTTTAATATTATTTTTTAATATTATTTTAATATTATTCTTAAAAAATACAAAAAATATTCTAAAAAAGAAAAGACTCTTCTGTTGGTGTGTGCTCTCATTTGCTGTCTCCTGCCTGTGTTTGGTCCACATCAGGGCCATTTTTTGGTTAATTTTCCATTTTTAAATATTTTTTAATATTATTTTTTAATATTATTTTAATATTATTCTTAAAAATACAAAAAATATTCTAAAAAAGAAAAGACTCTTCTGTTGGTGTGTGCTCTCATTTGCTGTCTCCTGCCTGTGTTTGGTCCACATCAGGGCCATTTTTTGGTTAATTTTCCATTTTAAAATATTTTTAATATTATTTTTAATATTATTTTTTAATATTATTTTAATATTATTCTTAAAAAATATTCTAAAAAAGAAAAGACTCTTCTGTTTGTGTGTGCTCTCATTTGCTGTCTCCTGCCTGTGTTTGGTCCACATTTGGGCCATTTTTTGGTTAATTTTCCATTTTAAAATATTTTTTAATATTATTTTAATATTATTCTTAAAAATACAAAAAATATTCTAAAAATTCGTTAATATTTACAAAATTTCGTAAATACCAAAACTTTTTTGGGGGGAAAATTTTGTAATTATTTTAAATATCGAAACAAAAAAACACCCCAATTACAAATCAATTTTAGAAACAAATTTTTTCTTGATCAAACAGGCCTATAACATGCCCAAACTTGCTTATCTTGTAAATGTATAGTTGGATTGATTGGTTATTTGTAGCTGTCAATCAATGTTGTTTGCACCAGTTGAATTGCTCCCTCAGCTCAATTGTTTGGCCCCACCTCTTCCTAGAAGAGGAGGGCAGTGTTTCCTTTTCCATTCTACCATCAAACTTTCTATCAGATAGACGTGAGAAAGAGACTTGGCTCTAAAGCCCTTAATTAAGTTACCTCTCATCACCAATTCTAAGGTTTTTACCCTTGGGACTCATACTTCATGTCCAGATCGCCCTGGACAACGTTGAGGAGACCCAAGCGCCTTCAAACCAGTTCTTTGGCATCAAAAGGAAGACTCTGTGCCTTCAACATAGGCCATTGGACTGGGGGTTGTGTTTGTTCCGACCTTCACAGCCATTGAGAAAAGAGGGAACAGGAAAAGCTTCTCAGCTGCAAAATCTCCTTGGACCCAAGACAACCAGAGACTGTAATGTATATTTCCTTTACCCCTTTGAAACTTCCAGCTTATTGCCTTAAAGGGATAACTCTTTGTGAACAATAAAACCTATTTTGAGTTATCTACAGTGTTTTGGTCCTTGGGAGTTCCAGTTTCCTAAAGGAGGGCAAGAAGCAATCCCTGGGGGAAAGATGTCACGTCTATGTCTCTTTCACTAAGAGTTATAGCCCCCAAGGACCAACCCTTCCTTGCCAAGTCGCTTACCTGGGTTATTTTGTCCATTGCTTCTGGTTTTCGACCACAATTATATTTGCTCTGCAGTCATGGGCAATATAATGGCAGGCCTCTGGAGAGCTGGTGGTGTAGATGCCAGTCACAATGCCCCTGCAACCCGGAAAAGGGGAGAAAATAATAATAATCATCATCATCATCAACATCATCACCATCATCATCATCATCATCATCATCATCATCATCATCTATATAAATAAAAATGTAATGTTCATTTGTGGGATTAACAGAACTCAAAAACCACTGGATGAATTGACACCAAATTTGGACACAAGACAGCTAACAATCCAACGAGTGTCCATCACCCATAAACACACACGCACATGCACACACACAAAACCCCAGTGGAACAGACTTAAAAACCCAAAAAATACACCATATATACATATGCACATGCACACATTCATACACACACACGTATATATATGCACAAACACACACAAATATACACATTTACACACATATATATACATATATATACATATACATGCACACACACATACATATATACATATACACATGCACACGCATATACATAGCCACATGCATACATATATACACACAAATATGTATATAGACAAGCACACACATATACACAATATGCATGTAGACATATAAACACACAAATACACAAATATAAACACACTTATATATATGCAAACACACATGCATATATACATATACACATGCTCACGCATATACATATCCAGATACATACATATATACACACAAATGTGCATATAAACAAGCACACGCATATATACAATATGCATGTACACATATAAACATGCAAATACACAAATATAAACACACATACATATATATATATACACACACACATATATATGCAAACACATATATATACACACACACATATATATATACATATATACATGCACACGCATATACATAGCCACATGCATACATATATACACACAAATATGCATATAGACAAGCACACACATATGCACAATATGTGTGTACACATATAAACACACAAATATATACACATATATATACACACACATATATACACATACATATATACATATACACATGCACATACATATCCACATACATACATATATACGCACAAATATGCATATAGATAAGCACATGCATATACACAATATGCATGTACACATATAAACACACAAATATATACACACATATATACACACACATATATATTTATGCAAACATGTATATATACACATATACATATATACATATACACATTCACACGCATATACATATACACATGCATACATATATACACACATATGAATATAGACAAGCACACGCATATACACAATATGTATGGACACATATAAACACACAAATACACAAATATATACACACACATATATACACATACATATATACATATACACATGCACATACATATCCACATACATACATATATACGCACAAATATGCATATAGATAAGCACATGCATATACACAATATGCATGTACACATATAAACACACAAATATATACACACATATATTTATGCAAACATGTATATATACACATATACATATATACATATACACATTCACACGCATATACATATACACATGCATACATATATACACACATATGAATATAGACAAGCACACGCATATACACAATATGTATGGACACATATAAACACACAAATACACAAATATATACACACACATATATATGCAAATACACATATATACACACATACATATATACATATACACATGCACACACATATACATATCCAGATACATACATATATACACACACATATGCATATAGACAAGCACACACATATACCCAGTATGCTTGTACACATATAAACACACAAATATATACACACATATATATTTATGCAAACATGTATATATACACACATACAAACATATATACATATACACATGCATATACATATACACATACATACATATATACACACATATGCATATAGACAAGCACACACATATACACAATATGCATGTACACATATAAACACACAAATACACAAATATATACACACACAAAACACATATACACAGACTGGGCCACAGCAACGCCAGGCAGGGGATGGCTAATAATAATAATAATAATAATAATAATAATAATAATAATAACAACAACAACAACCATTTTATTTCACAGACATGGAGGGGATCCCCAAAGGTTATATAGTCCAACCCCATTCTGCCATATTGGAATCACAGAGGAGAAAGGGATCCCCAAAGGTCATATAGTCCAACCCCATTCCACCATAGAGGAATGACAGAGTATAAAGGGGTCCCCAAAGATCATATAGTCCAACCCCATTCTCCCATCTAGGAATCATAGAATTGTAGAGTTGCCATGCAGGAATCATAACATTGGAAGAGGGCCCCAAAGGTCATCCAGTCCAACCCCATTCTGCCGTAGAGGAATCATGGCATGGAATCAATGCTGCCCAAACTTTACCCAGCAAAAACAGTCCCAACCGCTGAAATGAACCATTCGGGAGAGTTGAATCCGAGAATCGCGACGCTGTGGAAGCGTTGGAGGCCGAGCTTTTGGGAGGAAAAAAATAAGGAGAAGGATATAAGAAATCAGATATTGCTTGCAGGTGTTATCTCAAACCACATAAATTATATATACATCCGACAGTGGTTCTCAACCTTCCTAATGTCGCAACCCCTTAATACCATTCCTCATGTTGTGGTGACCCCCAACCACAACATTATTTTTGTTGCTGTTTCACAACTGTAATTTTGCTCCTGTTATGAATCGTAATGTAAATATCTGATATGCAGGATGTATCTTCATTCAATGGACCAAATTGGGCACAAATACCCGATACTCCCAAATTGGGCATTGACCTTGAGTTTGGGAGTTGTAGTTCACCTACATCCACTGTGGACTCAAAACAATGATGGATCTGGACCGAAATTGGCACGAATCCTTAATATGCCCAAATGTGAACACTGGTGGAGTTTGGGGAAAATAGACCTTGACATTTGGAAGTTGTAGTTGCTGGGATTTATAGTTCACCTACAATCAAAGAGCATTCTGAACTCCACCAGCAATGGAATTGATCCAAACTTGGCACACAGAACTCCCATGACCAAAAGAAAATACTGGAAGGGTTTGGTGGGCATTGACCTTGAGTTTTGGAGTTGTAGTTCACCTACATCCACTGTGGACTCAAAACTATGATTGATCTGGACCAAATTTGGCATGAATTCTCAATGTGCCCAAATGTGAACACTGGTGGAGTTTGGGGGAAATAGACCATGACATTTGGGAGTTGTAATTGCTAGGATTTATAGTTCACCTACAATCAAAAAGCACTCTGAACTCCACCAGCAATGCAACTGAACCAAACATGACACACAGAACTCCCATGACCAACAGAAAATAGTGGAAGGGTTTGGTGGGTATTGACCTTGAGTTTTGGAGTTGTAGTTCATCTCCATCCTTTTTGGACTCAAAACAATGATGGATCTGGACCAAACTTGGCATGAATTCTCAATGTGCCCAAATGTGAACACTGGTGGAGTTTGGGGAAAATAGACCTTGACATTTGAGAGTTGTAGTTGCTGGGATTTATAGTTCACCTACAATCAAAGAGCATTCTGAACTCCACCAATGATGGAATTGAACCAAACTTGGCACACAGAACCCCAACGACCATGAGAAAATACTGTATTTTTGGATGGTGTTTGGTGTCCCCTCTGACACCCTCTTGTGACCCCCCCAGGGATCCGAGCCCCCATGTTAAGACAGAATATTACAGGGAAGCATTTTGAATATCCTGCTTCGAGGTCCTTCTCTCTCACCTTCAGGAAGCTTTTGGCGGCTTTCCGAGAAAGGCGGTAATACTCCGAGAAGGTGACTTTTTCCCACTTCCCATCCTTTTTGCTGGCCATGGCGTCGAGCGACCCATATTTCTCTAGGGATTCCTGGAACATTTCATGGACGGTCATCGGAGCCTGGGGGCAAGTGGGGTCCGTCCGCAGCATCACCATCCCTTCGGCCGAAGTGGTCCAGAGGGACGCTGTCGGAAAGAAAAAGGAATATTCACAACGCTTTCATGCTTCTCTGCCTTAGGAAACTACAACTCCCAGAACTCCATAGCATTGGGCCATGGCAGTTAATGCATTGATTATCCAATGTAGACGCACCTCATTTTGTAGGGTGAGATTCCTTCAAGCAATGTTTCTCAACCTGGGGGTCAGGACCAGGGGCATTTGCAGTATAGATGATTTTGCCCAGGGGCGCTCTTGAGGCGCTCTTGGGGGAAAATAGACCTTGACATATGCGAGTTGTAGTTACTGGGATGTATAGTTCACCTACAATCAAAGAGCATTCTGAACTCCACCAATGATGGAATTGAACCAAATATTGCACACAGAACTCCCATGACGAACAGAAAATATATATCAATGATTGGTTGGGGGGGGGGGGCAAAATACTGTTTGCTTACCATTGAAAATTACTTAGGGCCGCCTGGTGGTCGGGACCCCTGGGGGGGGGGTCACAAGGGGATTTCAGAAGGGTCGCCAAAGACCATCAGAAAAATTTGGCCACAAGACACCTACTAACCCAAGGAGTGACCATCACTCAAAAAATGAGTTTTTCATTTGGGAGTTGTAGTTCCTGGGATTTATAGTTCACCTACAATCAAAGAGCATTCTGAACTGCACCAAGGATGGAATCGAACCAAACTTCCCACACAGAACTCCCAGGACCAACAGAAAATACTGGAAGGGTTTAGTGGATATTGACCTTGAGTTTGGGAGTTGTAGTACACCTACATCCAGAGAGCACTGTGGACTCAAACATAGAATCATAGAATCAAAGAGTTGGAAGAGACCTCATAGGCCATCCAGTCCAACCCCCTGCCAAGAAGCAGCAACAACAATGGATCTGGACCAAACTTGGCACGGATACTCAATAGGCCCAAATGTGAACACAGGTGGAGTTTGGGGGCAATCGACCTTGACATTTGGGGGCTGTTGTTGCTGGGATTTGTAGTTCACCTACAATCAAAGAGCATTCTGAACCCCATCAAAAATAGAATTGGGCCAAACCTCCCACACAGAACTCCCATGTGGGCCAATGTATGTCCTTCACTCAAAAAAAATGATTTTGTCATTTGGGAGTTGTAGTTGCTGGGATGTATAGTTCACCTACAATCAGAGAGCATTCTGAACTCCACCAACGATGGAATTGAACCAAACGTGGCAGATAGTTCTCCCATGACCAACAGAAAATACTGGAAGGGCTTGGTGGGCAGTGTCCTTTGGTTTTGGAGTTGTAGTTCTCCTACATCCAAAGATCACTGTGGACTCAAACAATGATGGATCTAGACCAAACTTGGCATGGATACTCAATAGGCCCAAATGTGAACACCGGTGGAGTTTGGGGAAAATCGGCCTTGACATTTGGGGGTTGTAGTTGCTGGAATTTATAGTTCACCTACAATCAAAGAGCATTCCGAACCCCACCAATGATGGAATTGAACCAAACGTGGCAGACAGGACTCCCATGACAGACAGAAAATACTAGAAGGGTTTGGTGTGCACTGACATTGAGTTTGGGAGTTGTAGTACACCTACATCCAGAGAGCACTGTGGACTCAAACAATGATGGATCTGGACCAAACTTGGCACGAATACTCAATATGCCCAAATATGAACACAGATGGAGTTTGGGGGAAATAGACCTTGACATTTGGGAGTTGTAGTTGCTGGGATTTATAGTTCACCTGCAATCAAAGAGCATTCTGAACTCCACCAATGATGGAATTGAGTCAAACTTGGCACACAGGACTCCCATGACCAACAGAAAATACTGGAAGGGGTTTAGTGGGCACTGACGTTGAGTTTTGGAGTTGTAGTTCACCTACATCCAGAGAGCACTGTGGACTAAAACAATGATCGATCTGGACCAAAAATGGATCTGCACCAAACTTGGCACATCTGGGCCAAACTTGGCATGAATACTCAATATGACCAAATGTGAACACCGGTGAAGTTTGGGGGAAATTGATTTTGTCATTTTGGGGTTGTAGTTGCTGGGATTTATAGTTCACCTACAATCAAAGAGCATTCTGAACCCCAACGATGGAATTGAACCAAACGTGGCACACAGAACTCCCATGACCAACAGAAAATACTAGAAAGGTTTGGTGGGCATTGACCTTGAGTTTGGGAGTTGTAGTACACCGACATTCAGAGAGCGCTGTGGACTCAAACAATGATGGATCTGGACCAAACTTTACACGAATACTCAATATGCCCAAATGTGAACACTGGTGGAGTTTGGGGAAAATAGAATCTTGACATTTGGGAGTTGTAGTTGCTGGGATTTATAGTTCACCTACAATCAAAGAGCATTCTGAACCCCACCAACGATGGAATTGAACCAAACTTGGCACACAGTTCTCCCATGACCAACAGAAAATACTGGAAGGGTTTGGTGGGCAGTGTCCTTTGGTTTTGGAGTTGTAGTTCACCTACACCCAGAGATCACTGTGGACTCAAACAATGATGGATCTGGACCAAACTTTACACGAATACTCAATATGCCCAAATATGAACACTGGTGGAATTTGGGGAAATTAGAAACTTGACATTTGGGAGTTGTAGTTGCTGGGATTTATAGTTCACCTACAATCACAGAACATTCTGAACCCCAACAACGATGGAATTGAACTAAAGGTGGCACACAGGACTCCCATGATTGACAGAAAATACTAGAAGGGTTTGGTGGGCATTGACATTGAGTTTGGGAGTTGTAGTACACCTACATCCAGAGAGCACTGTAGACTCAAACAAAAAATACTGGAAGGGCTTAGTGTGCATTGACGTTGATGGATATGGACCAAACTTGGCACGAATATTCCATATGCCCAACTAGGAACACAGATGGAGCTTGGGGGAAATCGACCTTGACATTTGGGGGTTGTAGTTACTGGGATTTATAGTTCACCTACAATCAAAGAGCATTCTGAACCCACCAACGATGGAATTGAACCAAACTTGGCACACAGAACTCCCTTGACCAACAGAAAATACTGGAAGGGTTTGGTGGGCATTGACCTTGAGTTTGGGAGTTGTAGTTCACCTACATCCAGAGAGCACTGTGGACTCAAACAATGATGGATCTGGACCAAACTTACACGAATACTCAATATGCCCAAATGTGAACACTGGTGGAGTTTGGGAAAATAGAATCTTGACATTTGGGAGTTGTAGTTGCTGGGATTTATAGTTCACCTACAATCACAGAGCATTCTGAACCCCACCAACAATGGAATTGAACCAAACTTGGCACACCTCCCATGACCAACAAAAAATTCTGGAAGGGTTTGGTGGGCAGTGATCTTAGTTTGGGAGTTGTAGTGCACCTACATCCAGAGAGCACTGTGGACTCAAACAATGATGGATCTGGACCAAACTTGGCATGGATACTCCATATGCCCAAATGTGAACACTGGTGGAGTTTGGGGAAAATAGAATCTTGACATTTGGGAGTTGTAGTTGCTGGGATTTATAGTTCACCTACAATCACAGAGCATTCTGAACCCCACCAACGATAGAATTGGGCCAAACCTCCCACGCAGAACCCCTATGTGGGCCACAGCAACGTGTGTCAGGGGACGGCTAGTAAAATGTAAGTTGGTGGATCCATCGGGACATCTAGAAGGAAGGTATCTTGAAACCATTCTCACCCCAACCTCGTTGAAGGAGCAGCTTTGGAAACAACGGCCAGCGAAGTAACCAAGCGTTTCTCGCTCTCGGAAAGAAAGCTTCCATTGGGGAAAAAAAAAACTAAAACGAGATGGGAAAAGGAAAACAGAACTGGAGCTCCCAGGGGTGTATGACCCCAAGGACATACATTGGCTTTTATAGTTCCGGTGTTTTGTGCCACCCTTTCCGAAGCATCACTCCAACACTGTGCTCAATTGGTTGCAGGACAATCAGGCAATGTCACATCACGGTCCGCATCCCCTTCCCTGCGCGCTCCCTTTGTCCGGCTCTTATCAGTAGGAACGCTTCCAAATCCACCAAGTACAAGGCTAGTGCTGACGCCAGCGGGACCTCCGGGTTGTCAAGGCCTCCTCTGCCTAGCAGGTCAACTTGCGGCATGCTCACAACATTTTTTGTGTTAATTACACAATAAACAGATCTATGAGTAAACAGTCAACAATCCTTACGCAATAGCCACACGGTGGGTTTCCAATACAGCTCCCATTTCCAGAGAGCGGCGTGACTCCTACCAAAGATGGATCTGGACCAAAGTTGACACAAGATGAGTAGGAAATACCTGGATTTTGGGAGTTATAGTTCACCCCCATCCACAAAGCACTCTGAACCCAATTGATGATGGATCTGGGCCCAACTTGGCAGGTGTACCTGACATGCCCTACTTTGGAGACTTGTGAGTTTTGTGGGAGTTGTCCTTGAATTTTGGGAGTTGTAGTTCACCTTCATCCAGAAAGCACTGTGAACCCAAGCAATGATGGATCTGGATGAAATATAGCACACAGACCCTGCCCCCCCCCCCCAAAAAAATATATGAATAGAAAATACTGGAGGGGTTTGGGAGGGACTGACCCTGGGTTTTGAGAGTTGTAGTTCACCCCCATGCACAGAGCACTCTGAACCCAATTGATGATGGATCTGGACTCAATTTGGCAGGCGTACCTGATATGCCCTACTTTGGAGACTTGTGGGGTTTGTGGGGAGTTGTCCTTGAATTTTGGGAGCTGTAGTTCACCTTCATCCAGAGAGGACTGACCCTGGATTTTGAGAATTATAGTTCACCCCCCTCCACAGAGCACTATGAACCCAACTAATGATGGATCTGGATGAATATAGCACACAGACCCTGTCCACTCCCCCAAATTAGGAATAGAAAATACTGGAGGGGTTTGGGAGGGACTGACCCTGGATTTTGGGAGTTGTAGTTCACCTTCATCCAGAGAGCACTGTGAACCCAAGCTGGATGAAATATAGATCTGGATGAAGTAATGATGGATCTGGATGAAA